TGAGAATGATGAGGGCAATGAATGTACAAATGTGCTTTACACAAGTGATGTATGTATGGATTGTGATAAGAGTTGTATGAGCCCCAAATAAAATGATTTTTTTTTTAAAAAACAAGCCTATAAGACCCCAGACGCTATTCTTTCCAATAGCCAGCCACCATCTAGTTTCTCCCCCATACTTTGCTGTAACACCTTTATCTTCTGTGTTTCCTTCCTGAGGGTGCATATCGAGCAGGGAGGCCAAAGTTTATTAATGATTGGTTACCAGAGACAGGTGAGAAAATTAGGAATCAACCCTTAGGGAACACTGAGTTTCTGTTAAGAGTGATGGAAAAATTTGGGAACAGATACAGGTAATGGTTGACCAATAGTGAGAAATTCCATAAAATTGTACATTGGATAATTGTTGAACTAGCAGATGTTCTGTTCACTACATATCTTTACCACAATAAAAATAATAATAATAATAATAGTAGCACTTGCCTTAGCACTTAGTTGTTGTTGGGATCAGTGGGGGTGTGTGTGGAGTGCATAGACCAGTATCTGGCACTCAGCGCTCAGAACACACTAGGTTTCACCACTGCCCACTGGCCAGCCTGGGAAGGTCCCTGATACTTGGGAGCAGAGGAGACTTTTCTGGGTTTTCTGCCAGACTTTGCCCTATGGCATGCTTTAAGGGTGCTGTGTGCACCCATGAGGAAGTGAACCAGGTGCTGTGTGCCTCGGGTGCTTGGCTGCAAGGCCGATGCCGGTTCCAGGGTGCTCTCTCAGTGGGGGTTCCAAGTGTAACAGAATGTGTTTGTCCTTCTCAGGAGGGTGCTGATGCTCCCTCCCCGGCCCTGTCCCTGGCGGAGCTCAGGACGGCGTGCAACGAGAGCGAGCTGGCTGCAGAGTTCACCAACGCCATCCGCAGGTAAGCAAGCACGCACGGACTGACGGCCTCACCACCTGGGCCAGGAGTTTGTTCTAAGACCGCAGCTTGTCTGACCTTCTGTTGGCTGCTTCTGTCGGCTGCTCTTCCTGGGTCAGGACCCCCTGCCAGGGAATGAGGAGGTGGTGACAGGTGCTGCCCTTGCCCTGACGTGGGGCCAGCATGGAAAAACTGTTTATGCCTGGCATTTGGAAAGGGGAGGGAGAGGGGCAAGTATGAGGCTGCCGTTTCATCAGCCAACAAGAAACACTGCTCTTCCGTGTTCTGTTGTGCTGCTCCGTGGCAGGAACCTCCAGGCCCCTGTTAACCGGGGTCGACGGAGGTGGGCATTTGAACCTGAGTGAGAATGCTTTCTTTCGGCACCTGGACCATTTTTTATCAAAGGGCCTCCGGTACTTATTCAGCTCTGGGAAACCGGTCTCCTTTTTAGTCAGCGTTTCTTCCCAAGGAGCAAAAGGTGTCGCTTCATCTGCTCTGGCTTCCAGGCCATCCCTCCCGGCTGGTCCTGTGCTCTAGCACAGAGTCTCCCACGGGGCGCCCCTGTCTCTAATCAGCGCAGGGACCATGCACAAAGAGCAGGTGAAGGGAGTGGTTTCTGAGTTGAGGAAAGAATTCCTGCACGACATTTGGGAATTTCATTGAAGAAATGGAGGTAGATTTGTATTTCATGTTTTAGAATGTTTTATTGAAATTAGTTTTCATCATTTTAAAAATCCAATATGGCCAAGGTACGGTCACTTCAACATGAATCAAATTTTTTTTTAGCGAGTTATTTTGCCTTCTTATGTTAAATCTTTACATTCAGGCTATAGTTTTACACTTAGAGCACTTGCCAATGAGGGTCTCACGTCGGAGAAGCCACAGGTGGCTGCCGTGTCAGGCAGTGCCCTGTGAAAGCGGATTCTTAGCAATTCCAGCTCGGTAACTTCTCCTTTACCCGTTTCCACTGTGGGGTTTGGCCGGTTGTGTGTTTGGGTGAACGAATCTATTCTAAAATCTCCTTTTGTCTGCTCTGTTAACTCTTGCTTCCTCACATGCAATGTCTCTGAGTTGGAGTTCATAGCTCACTCACTTTTTTGGTGCTGGCTTTCCTTCAATATTGGTTGTTGTCTGTGTTGGACCTTACGGTTGAAATGCCCTGGTGGTGCGTTTTTGAGTGCCCACAACAAGAACTGCTCCCTTGGGTTTTCTGGGGCTAATTTCTCAGAACTTGATGGCTAGGCCTTTAATTGAGGTCCCGCTGGTGGACTAGAACCTCGAACCTTTGGATTCACAGTGAAGTGTGTTCATTGTTTGCACCTTCCAGGTACTCCCTGTACAGCACACCACTCAGATAACGTAGCCAGGCCTTGGGAGGTGTTGTCAGTGGAACCGTGGTAGAAGTTCATCTTCTGGGCTTGTGGCCAAGGGTGACCATCCTGGCTGCCCTGTGTCTGGCTCCTCCCGTCCCTGGTAACCACCACCTGTGTGGTTGAGTTGTTTAGTGTAGTGGCGGTTTTGTTTCTGTCTTGTGTTAGGACTTTCTTCTTCCGGAAGGATCTGCCTCTTATTTTTATGACTGCTCAGAGTTTCTGGTTGTAGTTTCTTGCTAACTTGCTGGGGGAGAGTATCTTTTCCGTCCTTTCTGGGAATTGGGGGTGGCAGAGGACAACGACGGTACGCACACAGACTGCTGTGGATTTGCCAGTACTGCATCCCTGCTGACGGAGGTCTTAGAGGACTCACTGTCCTGCTGATAGAGGCCTGTCCCCTATGCCTCTTCTTGCCTCCAAGTGGTGATCGAGCTTCTAACGAGGCGTGACATCATAATTGCTTAACTTGGGGTGAGGGAGAGAGGCAAGCAGTTCAGGAAGATCCCCTCAACAAACCCTAACGGCTTGACTGAGACTCATGGGCTGAGAATCCACTCCCTGGGTCCCGCCAGGAGCCACGTGGATATGGTGTCTGTAATCCAAGCCGCCACGTTTTTCAAGTTTTCCAAACCTCTTGGGTATAAGTAAGAAGCAGGTTCTGCTGACTGAACAGAAAGCAAATTCATTTGGTCTGTCAGTCCCCATGGCTTCCCAATACCCAGCCTCTAAGTCGGTCAGCGTGGATTTCTAATCAAGGCACAGATATATAGAGCTAAGGAAGAACCCGCAGGGCTAAAGGGAAAAGGGAAATAACATAATTATACTGTAAATCTAGCTTAGAAACCAGAATGATTATTTCATGGGGGACTACAATATGAACACCAGAGGGTTGAGATCTGGAGGTATTTTTATATTTAAAAATTAAGTGGAAACTAACTTCTTTTCTGAAGGTATTCCATCACTGCTTGGCTACTGGCTGAGACCAGTTTGGGGAATCTCACTCGCATTTTCTGAAACGTTTCTCCTTGAAGAGGCGTGTACAGGCATCAGTGGTGGGCGCGTGACCCGGGAGCCGGTATAGGTGAGGGCGTGGGGAAGAGGCTGAGGAACAGGAGGACCAGCCACGGCCAACTCCTCCAAGCGTCCTAACCCGGCAGTGGATCTGACTCGCAGCCGCCTGCAGGGCCTCCGAGGCCATGGCCCTTCGCAGAAGCAGACTGCCTCGCCTTTCTCCTGCGAGTGGCGGGTGGGCATGAACCACTGACCTTCCGCTAGCGGTCCTTTTTATCAAGTGCCAACTCTACTTTTGTTATTACAAAAGAATTGTTCATTTATTACTGCAAAAGAAGAAGTCTTTCCCAGTCTCCTCTCCCTCTGGAACAAAGCAGGGCTCCGTGGGGGCACACGTTTGCTTCTGGCCCTGCTTTGTTCCGACCACGTCCACGAACATTTCCCGCTCTTATGTTGCCATCACGAAAGCCCGTTGGGATAGCCAGGGTTCTGTGTATCACAGACCCTTCTCGGCTCGGACTCCTGGCTGGCCCTTCTGGGTCCTCGGAAAAGTAAAACCCAACAAGTTTGCCACCAGAAAAGTGAAATATAAAATTGCAATTAAGTCAAATGAATGTGTCAGAAGCGGCCCCTCTGGCTCGCGTGAGGCTGCCAGGAGCAAGGCACTGCTCGCGTGTGATCCAGCCGGGGGCTGGCACAGCCAGGCGGAGTGATTGCCCAAGTTCACGCAGCAAGCCAGAGGGGCAACCTTGTACCTCCACACTCGCTGCGGGACCTCCCTGCAGCCCACATGTGCAGTGTACCTCCACACTCGCTGCGGGACCTCCCTGCAGCCCACATGTGCATGCGGCGGATGAGCCAAGCCCCCCCACAGGGGCTTCACAGCTGAAGCAGGGCAGCTGCAGAGCACGGAGAGGTCTGGGCCCGGCTCCAGCTGACAGACCCTGCGGGATCGCCAGCCTCCCTGCTCCTCCTGCAGCTGCAGTCTGCCAGTCACTGCCCCCGGGGGCTCTGTGTATTCCACCGTGCCTGCCTGTGTGCCCAGCGGTTCTGTAAAATGCTAAATCGAGGCAGTAAATTAGCTGCCGTGCCCAGGACGGGATGGATGTGCCGACTCCCCCTTTCGTCTTTGAAAGGCCAGTGTGAGGGCTGCACAGGACAGCCCTGTAGCTCGGGTTCCGGTGTGAGCAGAGGAACCCAGGGGTGGGGTGGGGAAGGTGGCTGTGACCCTACGTGGAGGTGGCACTGCCGAGGGAGGAAGAGGCACGCACCGGGGGCTACGTCCCGAGCTCAGAGAGAGGGTATGTAGGAGCACCCCTGGCCCGTCTGCCACTGCTGAGTGGATGGCTCATGATGAGCCCCATCCAAAGGCACCCTCCTTCCAATGTGCCCACGTGGGACTCCTGCATCGCCTGCTGGGGCCCCTTCTCACGAGGACGGGCACTTCTTTCCTTCCGCCCCTTGGACCTTTTAGCCATGCAAGTTTTCAAACAGTAGATGCAAACCCCTCTAGCGCTGGCGATCATTCAAGGTGAATTTGGCTTGCACCCAAGAGCAGAAGAGCTTTTTGCGCTGGGGGTTGCAGCAGGAGCCCCCGACAAGTCTTGAAGGCCTCCACGGCTCCGCCCACCATCGCAGGAGCCCCCGACAAGTCTTGAAGGCCTCCACGGCTCCGCCCACCATCGCAGACACGTTTGCTGAGTAGCCAAGAGCCCCTTCAGCTTCCTCAACTCTTCCTCCACATCTCCCTTCCTGCCTTTAAGGAAAATGTCCCTCTTCCTGGCCAAAGCTAATCTTAACAAAGTGGTCACGTGAGTGGCAGAACCTCACCTCGAAGGAGCTAAGATGGAATTGGTACTTGCTCCCCATTATGTTAATTAGAGGACAGGTGTTCATCTGACTTAGGATGCTGCAGCCAAGGCCCCCCCTAGGACTTGGTCCATGTCCCCAGCCTCTTACTCCCTGATCTCCATCCTTCATGGCAGATGGCCTTTTCTCACAAGAAGCGGGACTGTCACTGAGGGCTGCCTGCAGGGGCTCTGCTCTTTACCGTCTCTCGTTTCCTTCTGTCTCTCCCTTGGTGGACTCTTTAAATCAGGGGGCCAGTTCACTGTCCCTCAGACCATTGGACGGCCGGATTATAGTTTTAAAAACAAACAAACTATGAACAAATTCCTATGCACACTGCACATTTTCTTTTTAAGGGTGGAGACAGACCCAGTCATGGGCATGGCGGCCTGCTGGATCTCCTTGCTTTATTAGTTTCCAGCCGATCGGTTCAGAAAGTTGGAGAGGGTGAGGCCGCCACCGGGAGCTCTGGACGGACTCTCCTGGGGCAGGCTTGCAGGTACAGACTGTGGCACGAGACCTCCCAGGCCCCACCGGGGACTGGTAGGAAGACCGTGGATCAGTGGCTGCTCTCCCACACAGATGGAGACCAGGGACTCGGGTTGTGCCACGGGCCTGCATGCCCCAGCAGGTCACAGATCATCAGTGCCCTGGTGAGCCTGGGAGGATCTGACCAGAGCAGCTCATGTGGTGACCGGGCTGGAGCCCCCCACTGGGACATGGCCTTGTAGTGGTTGCATCTGCTCACACAACTTAGGTGGTCAGCACGGG